CATTCCATCAAGTGACTTCACTCAGGCCAGTGCTTTTTGGCAATTCAGTCCGGCCTCATGCGCAGAGCAGGTGTCTCCAGAAAACCTCCCAGGGTTTCACTGACAGTCGGATGTGTCGGTGGGGGCCCACAGATACTTTGCCTGATGGACGAGCCTGCAGAGCCGAGTCCTTGGAGAAACAGACACTGCATACATCAGGATCTCATTACTGGCTTACTGCACATATACACTGTGTCATATCAAGTTTTTCTGATTTGCACTTTTTTCTTATACGTCAAAGAGCCTAATGCATGCATTCAGAACATCTGGGCGCATTATCTCCTTTCGTGACATTTCAACATGCAGTCATCCAGAATGACTTAATCAGATTTAGCGCCTTATTTACTAAAGCCTGCACACAACCTAAATGAATGCAACATTTTCCAGGTCAGAGTTCTTCCTGATTTATTCAGACCATTTGCACAAATGTTGTCAGTCACAGTTTCCGAGTGAGAATACCAAAAATATTGTTGACTGTGCCGTCTGGTCAAATCATTTGCCTCAGACTTAATTGTGCAGCTGCATTTTGTGTTCCAAACATGCCTATACTCTCCTCATCACTCTTTCAAAGCCGTTTTTTGCAATCACTTCCATATCTTTTACTGAGCAACGATTTGTACTACAGTGAGTAAATTCATTACATTGTGAGGAATATACAGTTTTCTCACAGTGAGAATCAAAACACTCGATGTTGAGAAACGTCTTCTGAGCTATTAGCTTAAAGAGTTGTGTAAGGGGGTGGAATGAGTGTTAATTTGTTTTGGGTAAAAGGAGCGAAAGCCGGTCAGGCGGTCACAGTCTATTGATGCTGAAAGGCGCATAAATCACACTTATGCAGTGATTTCACTTAATCCACGGTGCATTCTTTATACAGCATGTTCATCCAAAGGGCTGCTGTGTTGCTGAGCCAAAAGTATACTTCTTCCTGGCTGAAAGCTGTTGGGTTTGGCCCGCTATATCAACCTGATTCAGTCTTGACTGAAAAACGTCAGCTGCAGCCACTGATTTCTGAAAGAGTACCTGATTAAATTCAAAATAAAGGAAAAAGCATCAGCTATTGAGAATTAGTTTTGCACCCCAAGGGTGAGAGGTTTTCCAGATTAAAGCAAATGTTTTGGTGCGGAGTTGACCAGCTTTCACACATGTCAAAGAAGCATGAAGTCCAGCTTCATTACAGCCGGTCTTTAGTTTGATCTAGCAAGGAATCTTTTTAACATTATTTTTTACAGCCTCTCTACTTGATTTAACAGTGGACGATAAATAAGAGTATTGGGGGATGTCATGCAACAAATCTGTCAAGAGCCGCACTCAAGCTCACAACATTGCTCTGATATGGTGGCCAATTGCCTGCTGTACAAAAGAAGGGCCCCAGACGGGCAACTTAAACAGTAACACATAACTCATTTGATGAAAGCTGACATTTCTTGGAAAAGGGTTACTTCTTGTGGTAAGCCCCCCCACCAAAACACATATCTCTAAATCCAGTAACCTCATATGAACTGCACTTTTCCATTAAAGAGTCAGTGAAATGTGAATGAGACTCTCCTTCCTGGCTACCCACATTGTGTGCGTGTGTGTGTGTGTGTGTGTGTGTGTGTGTGTGTGTGTGTGTTGACATGGTTAGATATTTCAGTTCAACAACCAATTTCACGATGTATGTTTTAACTGTGATATATATTTTCCATTAAACATTCATTCAGTACTTGCCTCTGGCACAGTCGGGCTTTGGATTTGTCCTGCAGTGTTTCAGCTTCTCAGAGCTACATCTTTAAGACAGTCCGTTATTGCAGTTTATTTAGATTGAATGCATCTATTACTCTTTTTTACATTTAGGGTACCAAACTGTTCATGCTTACGCAATATCATGTTCCCTTAAATACAAAGACTTGAGACACACAATGTCCTCCGAAATTGCTTATTTTTACTTCACTTAGTGTTTGATCTTCACTGTGCACAATGAGAGCTTGACACTAAGGTTGTTTTGACATCCATCTGCTGGAGGAGGAAAGTTTCTCCATATTCAACTTGAAACTTATTTGAACACACCATGCACGGGCATTATTGTGTAACATCACACATTGGAAACAAATCATAGCCCAATATGCAACTTTAAGTAATTGTATTTGTATATTTACAGATTTGCATTTTTTTAATGAGGGAAAAGGTATAGATCCACCTTTTTTTGTTGAAAACCCAAAATAAGAAAATTAGTATTCAAAGCCGATTATTTCTATCAAACGTGTCTGGAGGGGATCTTTCGGTGCCATACTTTCATTATTCAGTAATGGAATCACTTGATGCAGCGCAAAGTGTCCTCTGTTGTCCTATTAAACTGTAGTGCATATCATGCATTGATACTTTTGAATGCATTATTAAACTCTGTCCTACTTCGTGTCATGATGACATGTTCTTGACCTTTTTAGAAGGCTAAAACATTAGGATGTAACAAAGAATGTAACCTGGCTTTAATAAACTAAATGTTCATCGTTTTGTTTGTGAAACAATTATACTCACAGTAGACTTCATCGCAAATAATGACCAAGAAAAAAAAATCCTTAAATTGTCTTCACTTTCTATCAAATCAGGTAACAAAGACAACCAGTAAACCTGGTTTACTGGTTGTGAACTTGGCCAAATAAAGCAGTTTGACAAATGCTTGCATGAAAGTGAGTTGGACATACATCAATGTTGACTTTGGCTACTTTGTAAAGGTGCTGTGGGATTTGCAAATAGTTAACACATTTATTCAAACTACAGTATGTGTGATTCTTTCTCAGTTCAGCTAAGAGTGCTTCACCACTTCTGAAGCTCCAAAGTGACTGGCACATTACTGAACACCATTCCCTTGAGCCCCTTTACACATAAAAGTCTTCCTGTACTTTACTGTATGTTTGGACCTCTGCAGACAGGCATGTCCTCTCTTCAAGGTGATTTGGTCGTTAAAGGACATGAGGGTTGAAGAATTATGGGACCTGTAAAACAAGAGCCAACCCCCCAATAGAGGAACAGTCACAGGACCCCATCAACCTCCTTTCAGCGTTCTCTGGGTTGCAAAGAAAAATAATCAAATACTGTTTGGTTTGAGATGGAGGTTCCATATAGATAACATATCAAAACTTGAGTTTTGCAGACAAAACAGAAAATAAATGTGTGCACAGTAAAAAGTCACACAGATGTGTTATTTACAGTATGTGCCACAGGGATATGTATTCTGTTTTTCTCATCGAAGGGAGCAGTGTATCTTTCCCTCTAGCGTTAGCAAGAGGAAATAGTTTGAGATGTTCTATTCGGTCAAATTGAAGTGAGCGATAAAAGTGAATGTCTTGAGTTGAAAGGTGATGAGTGTAGCTGATCCCCCCTATCTTACTGTTTAGCTGAGGAATGATACTTCTGTGGGAGGAGAACAATAATAGTATGTCTTTCTATGACCTCATACAGATGTAATTATTAACTGTGAAAATCCTGACTCATGCTCAAGTGCTTGACTCACTGGAGTGTGGTGTTTGTCATGCCTCTTGGAGAACCTTTCATTTTTGGATGTGGAAAATGATTTATTGTGGTGAAGTCAATTCATATGTTTTTAAGTTTTGTACATAAACCTCCATAGAAGTACCAACCTCTACCAACTTTTAATTTAATTTCAGTTCAAATTTACTCAACAATGCTGACTAGATACTGACGGAATTCAATTTGGGTTAAACTAAGTCACTTTTTATTATGCACGTACGATACATTACCAGCAGGGTGCGCTGTTCACCAAGACGCAGTTCTGTAAAGTCCCTGACTACATGTTAAGCAGCACAAAGCTGCCCTGGAAAAGTATCCTAAATATATAAGAAACTGCACAGGAGCGATGCTAGTCTACCACACAGTGGTGGTTAGAGTGGTGGCATGCTGTCAAGATATTTCTGTCATAGGAACAGGAAAAAAAGTCAAAATAAAAGAAGGAAGTGACTTTGTTGCTCAGACATTATTTAGCTTTATTTTATTGGGTTCATGACTATGTTACATTTTTGAAGAATGTGCTTCATGAATGTGCTTCGGAGTCACATTCCTCGTATGTGTATAGGCGTGGACACATACTTTACTGTACAAGTTGATTCTGATTCTGAGTAGCCCACTGCGCATGAGCACCACTTCCAGTTTGACAGCCTCCTCGTGCGTTTCCTGTTACCAAATAAAGGCAACGCAGAGAGGAGGGAAAAACCAACAGAGGGCTCACTCAGTCCCAGTTGGTGGCACCTAGGAACGACAGTGTAAATGCAAATGTTGCAAGATTTTGGGGTACTGATAAAAAGTAGTTTGTGTTTTAAAGGTTTACTTTGGTCTAATCACAAGCTAAATCTATTTCTACTGTCATCGGATTAAGTGAATGCTTTAGTGGCTAATTGGTGACAAAGACGCTGCTGTGGTGCAGATGTGATGTCTATGCATTCACCTATGGGCCAGTTCACATATTGCGGCTTTTTTTTGTGCACACACATGCATTATTTTTTTTAAAAAGTGACGCGCAAAATAGAATAAAATGCCGTGAAGAACTGATGGTTTCTCCGTAATATTTTGATTTATCTCGCAAAGTACACACCATCACATCCTCCGGTGCAGGCGTGATTTTCAGATGGGTGCGGTTCCTTGTGCGGGGAAGTTTTCTGCCAACTGTAGGTCGGCTGGCGAGTCCACATGTTGAATGAATCTTCACTGAAATCTGAAAAAAAGAAGAGGAAAAGTTTAACTCGGTGGCATGGACATACATTGAAGACTGGATATTTCTTATTTGCCATTGTTAAAAGGTTGAAGGTCTTTGAGTCGGGACAGCTGTCTGATCAAGGTAAATGTCACGTGTTTCAGAATAAGTTAAGGTGTGTTTCTGTTCAACTTTGGGTGAGTAATAACTTGACCTTTATCAAATAGAGTTCTGGGTTTTTCCACCTCATCTCACAACCTTCATGTAAATGCTGCTGGAAGATTTTAAATGTTATTGGATGAGAAATAACAAGAGAGTGCTTCTCCATGTGTGTGTGTGTGTGTGTGTGTGTGTGTGTTTGAGATAATACTTATAAGATACGATAGGCCTGACCTTTCAGAACACATTGATCCAACAACACGGAGCATGTATATAAATTGATATTGCCATGACTTTTAGGAAGTGCTGTAACATAACAGCAGCTCTGGGTTGGGCTAAGAACAGTTGATGATACAGTGCTCCATATCCCTGAAAAGGTCACTGATTTTTTTTGCCCTGAGATGGGCCGTTTATGCACAGTCCAGCTCAAAGGCTCCATTCAGCCGTTGAACCGAGAAAGTCCAGTCAAAGGGAACCTTTATGTCAGAGTGGGCTGGGTGCTGTGAGAACAGTTGCTGTCACAGCCTGGGACAGATCTAGCTGATATCTCTGTCTGACAGAGCTGGATGATGAAATGAGTCTGATGTGTCACAAGAAGTGGTTGTATTTTAATTCTTGATGCCGGGTCATTTTTACAGGACAATGGGCCTCCTGAAGCTGCTGAAATCCCAGTTATTGTGCCACCTGATCATCTGCTATGTGTTCCTGGTCAGTGGCCTCATTGTCAACCTGTTGCAGATCTGCACTTCACCTCTGTGGCTGGTCAGTAAGCAGCTGGCACGCAGGGTCAACATCAGACTGGGTTACTGCATCAGCAGCCGTAAGTACCGTTCTTACTCTCTACCACACACAGATGATGCCGATGTCAGCTGTTTTGTTCTGCTGCTGGAAGGAAGAAATCTGTCCTTTAAGTGGTAACTTTGTTGCAATTATTTATATTTTATATTTATATTTTACGCAGTGGAATTATTAATCGCATCACAAATATAATGTATCCTTATTCACATCATTGTGTCCTAATGATCCTCAGAGATGGTAGCTGCCCTGGATTGGTGGTCTGGGACAGAATGCACACTCTACACAGACCCGAAGAGTTATCCACTGTATGGAAAGGAGAATGCAATTGTGGTTCTCAATCACAGCTATGATATTGACTTCCTGTGTGGCTGGACCTTCTGTGACAGATTCGGAGTTCTTGGGGTAAGAGAAAGTATCCCCAAAATTTGTGTTTTCTTTTCTTTTTCAGAGCTACTCTTCAATTCCTTCAGGGAGAAGTTTACATTTTTTGAAGTGGGGTTGTATAATGTACTTATCCATAGTCATCATTGTATTGGTGGTATGGCGGTCGGCAAGGCCCACCTATAACAATCAATATCAGCTTTAGTGTATGCTATATTTAGAATATTTCCAATGCTTCACCTCGCTGCCAGAGAGCCCTTTCCCACGTGTGTTCTGACGTGTACTCTCTTGTGGCTTTGAAAAGAGCACACAAAACGGCTTCAGTTCCCCGTCAGAAGGGCTGTCTTATGGCAAGGTAAAGTGGTGAAAATATTCTATATATGGCGTACCCTTCAACTGATATCGATTTTTTTTTTTTAGGTGGTTACAATATGTTTTGCTGCAGCCCCTGTCCACAGCAGTACATTGCTTAGCTTCCGTGCTGGTACTCATGCCTGCTTCTTCAGATCCCATCTGGAGGCAATGCCAGTAGGCACTGACCATCGATATGCAAGTCATACAACCCCACTTCAAAAAACATCCGAACTATCCTTTTAACAGGCTTTGCCTTTTCATCTTTTTCCAGAGCTCAAAAGTGTTAGCCAAAAAAGAGTTGAGTTATGTACCTGTTATTGGCTGGATGTGGTACTTCCTGGAGATAGTTTTCTGCAAGAGGAAGTGGGAGGAGGACCGAAGGACGGTGGCTCAGAGCCTTCAGAACTTGCGGGATTACCCAGAAAACTTCTGGGTATGTTTCGGTCTGTGGAAATGATTATGTTGATATTACAGAGATATTTTGAGTAATGGTATTAATAACAACTTTCCTCGGGGGGGTAGTTCTTGCTTTTCTGTGAAGGAACACGCTTCACACCAAAGAAACACCAGATCAGCATGCATGTGGCTGAGAGCAAAGGTTTACCCAAACTGAAGTATCATCTCCTGCCCAGGACCAAAGGATTCGGGATAACTGTCCAAAACCTCAGAGGAACCGGTGAGTGTACATCGTTAATGAAGTGTTTAAATACGGCCACCAGTAAATCTCAGATACTATGTGTTGATGTTTTGGATTTCTAAATTAAATGAATTGTACAGTTAACTGTTGCTGTTTTGTCTCCTGTAGCTGCAGCTCTTTATGATTCCACACTGAACTTCAGAAACAATGAAGTGCCAACCTTGCTTGGAATTCTTAATGGGAAGAAATATCACGCAGATTTATATGTGAGGTACAGAGAAAGGCTTTGCTACATTTCACGGCAATACTGAATAGCTCGAAGCTTCATTCATAACGTTTGCATTCAAGTTATTATTATTTATAACTTACAAAAAAATTGCGTGTTATAGCCTCAATCTTTCTCACGTACAAGGTGAGCGATGCGGCGCTCAGTCAGTTAACTCAGTCCAAAAGTCCAAATTTATTGAGAAAAAGATAGATGTAATCATTTCCAAAATTCACAACATATTTCATCTAATGAAATATTCAGCTTCAGGCCATATTTTGTTGGTGTTTAGCTTTTCAAAAACAACAGTTTCAGAAGCATGCAAAGGGGCAGTCTAGCAGCAATAACCGCTTCATAAATTACATTTATATCACCACAGTAACAAAAAATCACATTTGTCCAATGTTTTAAGGTGATGACATCATAAAATATGACGAGTACTTTGACATTATATTTCTTATCTTGACTTGTTAAACTGCTTCCCGTTTCGTTCTCTACGTGCCATGTGCAGCACAATATTTATCTTTAACAACAACAAACCGTGAAAGAATACATAAATGAACATCATATTAAGTACAGAGCTCTATACAGTCTATGGTAAGGAGCCATATACACGACCACACAAAAACGCAGTGAAAAATACCTTCCTACCTAAACACCATCTTTCTTCTGGACTTCTTTGAAGAAAAGTAATTGTTTAGGTCGTCGAAGCTCAACACCCGGACGAGATCCGATTCAATTACCATGAGTGTCGGCATGTTGAGGCGCTTCTACGTCATCCTTATAGTTCATTTTTGATCCTGGACATTTGTGAAAAATACTGTTCTCCCTCGCAGTTGCTGTGAAAATGTGAAACGGAGGGTATTTGTTGTACCAAAGCGACATCTTTCTCTTCTTTTCCTTTCTTTGCGTTTAGGCTCGCTCCTCCATGTGGACAGCAAGATTTACATTTGACCTACGTCACTAGGCTGACGGCATTTGTTATTTAATCAGCTAATTTATAAAACATTCAAACATTTTCAAAATCACATTTACTCGATTTTCTTACAAAAATACTTTACATAAAACATTTTTAAAAAAAATCTTAAGGACAAGGGCCCCCCATTGGCTCAGGGCCATGGGCACGTGCCCACTTTGCCCATGCGGTGATCCGTTGATGATCATTGATTACCTGAATGATCTGACTTCCTGTTGTTTGCAGGAGAATCCCTCTGGAGTTGATCCCAGAAGATGAGGTAGAGTGTGCATCTTGGCTCCACAAACTCTACCAGGAAAAGGTAAGAGTGTGTTGAAGGTGGAAGTTCAGCCGTAGACTTTTAGCCACTGTTACATTTTGGCTTCTACCACTTTCTAGAGAAAGCAACATTTAGTTAAATCGATTAAATTCAATTTATTTATATAACGTCATCTTGGCAATTATCACTACTAATAGTAGTAATAATGGCAGAGATAATAAAATTGGCTTTCAAAGAACAAACTTAACCATGTTCTTCTGTTAAGGACTTTGGTACTGAGTTGAGTTTGCATTAATGTGTCAACAGGACAGCTTTCAGGAGCACTACACCCAAACAGGGCGTTTCCCTGGCCCCATAGTGAGCACTCTACGCCGACCCTGGGCCTTGATCAACTGGCTGTTCTGGGCCTGCTTGCTCCTCTACCCACTAGGCCTGCTACTCGCTGAACTGATCAGCTCTGGATCGGTGATGACCATCATAGCCTCCGTGGCTCTCTGCTCCTCAGGTTGGTTATATGCATTCATGTCCAAGGTGAAGTCATCCTGAAATGGTCATAAAGGTCCTTCCCTCAATTTAATCAGCTCATTTTTGTCCAGAAGTTCCCCTAAAGCAGCAGATTTGACACTTCTAATGTAAGTCCCCTCAGCAAAGTTAAGCATTCATCCATCTGAATAAGTCTGAGATGTTAAATAGAGATATGATTTCACAATAAATAAGTGCTCATGTTTGTGGGTGGAATGACTAATTTAGATTTCTGGAAAGACACTTGCCCAATCTTATACATTAATTTTTTAAAAAGTGGATTTAATCTAGACATTGGTTATTAATAACCCTTAGCTTCAACAACTTATTTTTGACTCACTCATATAATATTCTAAATGTAACCTTTCTAAATCTTTCCTTCACAGCTTCACTGGCAGTTCGCTGGATGATTGGCCAGACTGAGATTGACAGAGGCTCAAACTATGGGAATAATTCCTCTGAACACTAACTAAACACTCCTGTCCTACTAAGAGCTGCTACTTTGCAGTTACTTATTTGCAAGTTGCAGGCAGCCGAAAGTTTGACAGGTCTGACAGGACCTGCTCTTCAAAGCACAACGCAGACAGCAGTTTCGTCTTAACACATTATCCTCAATTTTGAGTGTAAATATTTGAATACAGTCAAGACAAAAATCTTTTTCCCTGGTCACTCAAACTGGAATTAATATTCAACCGAGTTTAAAATGGACTACCACTGCGTAAAGCATAAATGGTATTTTCATGTTGAAAGATAATACACATTTCACTTGTCTACCCTCCTGTCATTTTAAGACATTGGTTAATGGCCTTCCATTGTAAAAAGGGGTCAAATATTGACCGCTGCTGATGCAAAGATTTTCAAAGTTGTATTCATCCATCTGACATTTGACTCATCTCTTGGCCTTTATTATGTGGGCCATCTATGAATATTTGTGTGATTAAAGACATTTTGTTTGTTTCTGAAAACATTGGTGCAATCAAATCAATTGTATACTGGGCAGCGCAACATTTAGTAAAATGAAATAAATATGCAATAATCCATTTTACAAGACTTAACCTGCTGTTGAGTGAACACTATTCAACTGCATGCTATTGCATGTACTCTTACATTAAATGACGGTGACAAAATAAAACTGAAAATAGAATCTATCGGTCCTCAGTGACCAACAAATTGCCAGGCAGCACAATTTGGAGGAACAAATGTCATTTAATGCAAAATTTAAAGAAATGTTATCTGGAGGTATATGTTTTGAAACAGTAATGAACACTTTCAAAGAGAAATAGTTAAGTAATTTGATTTAAGAAAAATATAACATTTGGAATACCTTTAAGTATGCATTTCATTTAATGGGTGGAATTACATTTTTGCTAAAATGTGATTACAAATTGATAAATGACCTGTAAAGTTAGCAAACTTTCATAATTACTTACCTGCTCAGATGTCAGATCATGAAACTGGACAGTAAGAGTTCCAATGCAGTGAGGAACGATTGTTACTGTTGTATCAAAGTGGAACTACCTTCCTGTGTGGTAGTAGTGTGTAATACCAATAATACAATTTTTTTTATGGTGGAAGAACACAAACAAATTTCATTAAAAAAACAAAACGATTGGTTTATTAATATTGTTTGTACATAGCAAACACTGACAGAGCAGCAGAGGACCAGAAGTTGTGGTGAGTGTCAGTGTCTGTGTTTTGTGTTCAGCAGCAGAGAGAGAGAGCAGGCCCCGGTTCTCCTCTCAGTTGGCTACGCTCCAGTCACATGAACAGCTCTTTACCGGCGACCAGTAGACTTGAACATCGCTCCAACTTGACATCGACTCCTCAGCAAAGGCAAAAGAAAACTACATTTAAAAAAATAAAAATCCTTCCTAGTGCCCGCGCTTGCCAAATAACATGGGATAAATTAATTTGGATATTTGGATGGTGTTCATTTCATAAAAAGGTAAACCAGCCTCTCTTTCCATTCAGTGAGACTTACCACACCTTCTTCAGCCTCAAAGGGCTACGATTCCTCCCTCCTCCACTCAACAGTCCCTCGGGTAAACAGTTTAAAAGTGCCATAGATATTGCCCCCCCACACCCACCCCCTCCCCTTTTTTTTAAAAAAAAAAAAAAAAAGTATCCCTCATTGCTTTTTGAGGTCTTTTCACCAGTGAGGACAACAAATGTGGTAATAGTTACTTTAACTTTACAATATTGTTTGTACAAGAATTAAAGCCAATCCTATTCTTACAGTATGTACAGTCCCATCCCCCCCCCCCCCCCAGTCCATGGGTACATAAAGACAACCCTAAACTCCATAGGTCCAGTCGTCCTCTGAAATGATATTGTATTAGTTCCTCAGTTTAACTCCATGTGCCTTCAGCCGTAACTTCCTCTTCTCCGCGTCCACGGTTCTTTTTTTGTCTTTTGCCAACAGCATGTACAGTAGTGCTTTAATTTGTAAACGTAAAAGACGCAGAGGAGGTCCGTTCACTCTTCATCCGTACAAACCTGAAACGGACAAAAGATAAAAGCTGTAATGGGCCCTTGTGGATGACAAGCCACGACAGTTCACTTGTTAGGTGTTTTGTGATTACATTGGGTTTCAGTCGGGCAGTTGCAACATGAAGCAGGACTCCTTTAAGATGTATGCCCTCGTAGCGTCTCACCTTGACAAACGGGTGGTCTAGCAGCATGCTAGCTGTCCAGCGGCGTTTGGGTTCGCTCTCCAGACAGTGACCGAGATAGTCCTTGCCTTCTGTGCTCAGCTTCTCCGGGATGGGGGGTTTATGGCCCATGCCCACTTTGTACATGATCTGGAAGTTGTGCTCATACTCGTGCCAGGGCCTCTGCAGGTTGAGACAAAAGGGAGAACATGACATCATCTCCTCTGGTTGTTTTTGGTTCAGTGAATTTCTTGTAGTGGTAAGAAAGGGGGAAATAAATTAAAAGAATGTGGACAAAACTTGTTGTGGGTGAGCCGAGTAACAGAGTCTAACAGCCAAAGTATTTCCGCCCCTCTTACTTACATCATGGTATACTTGCAGCATAGGAAAATTACAAGCCGGTGTGATTTAATGGATTTATGACTAGGTCAAAATACATGATGCACTATCACTCCTTACCTTTCCAGTCACCATCTCAATGAGAACACAGCCCAAACTCCAGATGTCCGCCGCTCGACCATGACCTTCCCCCTTTGCTCTGGTGATGACTTCAGGGGCCATGTATGCTGATTTAGACATAAAACAATTATTAAAGACTAGAATTTATTCATCAGAGACACACTATGCAGGTTTAAGAAATATGATTACATGTGATCAATGGGAAATAAGTTTGATTTAAATATGCACATCAAACAAATATATTAAAATGAAGATCATTGTATCCACTACACAAGTTAAGGAACGGGTTACACACACCACGCCCATATATGAACACACTTTTGTAATAAATCACAGCATGTGGGTCGACATCCATTTGGTGAAAGAGAACAAATTAAATATCACGCCACAGTGACCCCTGGTGGTGGCCTCCAGACACACAATATCATTTCTTACCTGCTGTTCCCAGTGTGCTGTTCACCTCCCCTGGCATGGTGTGAGTGTTGTTCCTCAACTTGACTGAACAGCCAAAGTCACCGAGCTTAATAAGGCCAGATGATGTCAAAAAGATGTTGGCTCCTGTTATAATAATACAAAAAAAACAGAATCAACAGAGGGAAAAGGGATGCCGAGTTCACTCACAATGGCCTGCATATCCAATAAGAAAAAGAAAATAAGAGCGTGTGAAACGGACCCTTGATATCCCGGTGGACAATGCCGTGTTCATGGAGGACATTGATGGCTGTAGTGATTTGTTTACTGTAGAGCCTGATGACATGTTCCTGCAGCCCCAGTCTGGACACCTCCTCCAGAGTGCCCTCGTCACAGTACTCCATGAAGATGTACATCTCCTCCTACGGGCGAGCGCGTGAAAAGTTAGCCCAAACTGCGTCAGTGTGCACCATGTGATGCCCCGATCAAAAATAAACGTGTGCATCTTACCCGATGGAGCTCCACTCCAAAGTATCGCACCAAGTTCGGGTGTTTAATGCCTTCGAATATTTTCAGCTCGTCTGCAGTCTCCTTGATTGTTTTGTGATCGTTTGGCTGGAATCGGATCTGGTTTAAAAAAGAAAAAAGAAGACTTACCGCTACCTGCAGATCATAGTTTTATTTTGTTTTTTAAACTATTGAATTAGTTGCTGTACATACCTCCTTCATAGCCATTAGTTCACCCGTGTCAACATTGATGCAGGTGTATACCTTCCCGTACTGGCCCTCACCTGTTATACAAACAAAACATTGCATCACTGCCTGTACGTGCGTTACATGACACACTTCATAACCAATGCAGTCAGTGGGTAGCCGTACCTATCTTGTTGCCCCTCTGCCACTTGAAGGTCACCTTTCGGAGCCCGACGTGCATGACGTTGTCGTAGGACTTGGGCGTGTGACACACTTGGCCGATGATGTTGCGCTGCTTCATCACAGCGTACCGTTTGTCCTCAAACTTGCGAATGGAGCGACGGACAGCCTCCATGGGGCTTTGCCGTGCTGCGGTGTCTGAGATGGCGAGACAGGAAAAAGGATTTAGCATTTATTATTTTCATGTTGGAAAGTTTCCCTTTTGTATGTTGCATCACTTAAAAATCTCACCCTTGGACTGGCTGATGAAAGTGCGGAGCTCCCAGCTTCGACGAGCAGCGCTGTTGGGGTCTCCCTTAGGATAGGACGGCTCTGGGGAAAGAAACCAAAAGAGAAAATTCAGCCAATCAGAACGTTCATATGCACATGTGTATTCAAATAATACATAGCGCTGAATGCACCCACCTTCTCTGTCATCTGTGGGGCTGGAGTGGCGACTCAGAGATTTGAAATGCAACTCTGCTGCAACCGACGACAGGCGGTCATTTTCATGGTAACTGGATCCCCTGCAAAAAAAACACGGTGGTCCAATCAACCGACTGATTCAGACAGCAGGTTTCAGACCCATCAAATACTACACGATTATAAGCTGCACAGCCAGTATTAGGGTTTCAAAACAATATACAAAAGATGATGAAACCATTATGACCTTTTAGGAGAAAAAGAAGAAGATTGAGCTGATTCTTAGTCTGCGTTTGGAAACCCATTAACAGTTCAGCATGCACCAGAGTCATTATACAGCTCAAACACACGTAAAGGTTAGATCTCCAGAGCGCATGTTCCGATTTCAAAAGCACACACAAAAAAGCCCAAACTCTAATGGAAGTGAATCACCAGCATCAAAGCAAGACTAATGTTAATAGCACTAAAAAGCAGAATATCATAGCCCACTCTGTCATTGAAGCGTGTGGTTTTTTTTTCCCCCATCTTCACACCATGCACAACAATCACATTCTCTTCCTTTGATCAGTAGCAAGACTAATATAAAGCCATTTGTCTGATTTGTTCAAATTTAGCGGGGTCGTAAAAGCTACATTAACACTTCTAATGCTCAAAAAACTGCTTCTCCTCATAAGCAGTAATCTGAGGTTTTTCTTGAATTTCATTTTGTAGCTTACATCGACGTCATGCATATTATATAGATGCACCTTCTAAGCAGCACTTCTTTTATGCTGTAGCAAGTCTATGGTGATTGAAATGCTCACATCTGTACAGCCATGCTGTAAAATATCCATTAAATTCAAAGTAAAATTGCATTTCTGGTAGAATGTGAAGGGAAATGCCTCATTATTTAGTTGAATAAAATGTTCCTGTAGTCCAAAAAGCCAACCTTGTTGTGCAAACAAACTTAAACTTCTCTAAAACTACTAAAGATTGATACTAAATATTAAAGAAAGCCAGGAAATGTTCAATTTACAGAGAATGGGAGACTGACTTTGTGCACATGGCAGTTAATCCAATACATGTCTAAATATCCAAATGTAATGTAGAGTGCTCGTTTAGATGCAATCACAAGGCTAAAAGCAGAAAATCTGCATTCTTTCAATAAAAAATACAAATCAAATCTGTAGAACCTAATAATGGAATAAAAACAAGTATAATATAAAATATATCACTTCATTAAAGCGCGATCATAAGCACAGTGTTTCATTCTTTATACCTTTTGAAGTTCACCATTATAGGGCCTGCAAATAAAATATTACAAAACTTGAACACAAAGTATTTCCTCCTTTCCTGTTTCCAGCAGCCTTATGTTAAAAATCAGTGATGATGGCTTTGGTTTTTGCAACTGAGGCTGTGTTTTGACCGCAGTTTCTACCAGTTGACTTTGGGGGCAAAGCTACCTGACGTCATTGGGGCTGCTGCTGGGTGCTTTGGTGTGGCTGTGTTCCCCCGGGCCCTGAGGGACTGGGCGAGGGCCGTTGGGGAACAGCTGGTTCCGGAGGTCGCAGGGGAGACTTCGAGAGCTGTGTGGTGAAAAAGCAAACTGAGGAGGGTCTGCCTGGGGAAAGTACGGTGGCTGGAGTGGGAAGTGTGGAGATATGTTTGTGTGTGACTGGGTGGCTGGTTGAGGGACAGACACACACACACACACACACACACACACACACACACACACACACACA